TTGATGATGGAATTCGTCTGCTGCCATGTGCGTGTGGCCTACCTCTAAATATTTTAATGTAATCGTTTTATAATTGACTTCGACTGAATTAACAAGATAGAGCAAATAAGAATACAAACTCCAATTTTTATTCTGGGCTGCACAATTATCTAACCAGATGACTACATTTTTCAGGTCTCTATTTGCCTGCAAAAAAGCTCTGAAACAGCTTATTATGTCACTCATTTTGCGACCAGCTATTGCTTCATGCCATATCGCAGCATAGGTTTGCAAAGTAGCATTGTTTTTTTTGTCACCTATTGGCACAAAACTTTCATTGAATGCGATTACTCTTGGGCAAAACATTACAATTTTAAATTCTTCAATGCGTGGGAGCATAATTACTTTCTCTAAATCAGCTGCAAAATAGGCAGTATCTGAGGTGATGTTTGCGTTATTTTGTTTTTCTACATCTTTTTTGTATGCTTCCCTGGCTGATTTATATTTTTCCCGGTGTCGTTCGTAATCTCGGCATTCTTGACAATTTCTGTGTCTTTTCTCCTTGTATTCCGGATTGTGGATAAAAAACTTTTCACACGCCTCACACTCTTCATGTCCAAGTTTTGTAAAACATATATTTAACTTCTTCACAACTTTTCTGTAGTAGTCATAAGAAATCTGTTCGTGAACAGGAAGGTCTTTCATGTTTTGTTGTTCGTAAAAGTCTCGATACATTCTGGTCACTGTTAGGTCAGACGGAAGATATTTTCTATTTGGAGCGTGCTCTCGTCTGTAGTGGGAAATTGAAGGATTAAAAGAATTTATATGTTCTACAATTTTAGTGTCGTCCAACTTTTTTGGATTAGGATTGGTTCCTCGCTTATCAACTGGAAGGTTGTTTGTTATGGTGCATAAGGCGTTTCTTACAGATTTATCATTTTTTCGACTGTAACCTAGTGTTTCTAGAAAAAATACTTTGCAAACATTCACTTTTACCCCTGTTTCATTTGTCAGAAAATATAATATGCTTACGTTTCTTGGCAGTTTTCTGTTTTCTTTAACGGTTTTTCTCTTAGGATCTTCTTTGGATGTGTTATTTATTATGAAATACTGTTGCTCTTTCCAAGACATGTTTCTAAAGTGATGGTTTAGATTTTGTCGTGCTTCTTCTGTAACCTGGGTATGACATTTTTTTTACATCTATCATTACACCCTGGCTTAAGTCTATATTTAGATTCCATATCTTTCAGTTTTTTAATTTTTTTTCTCTGCGCCGGTGATTCATCATACTTCTTACGTTTTCTGATAGTCCCCTTTTTTGTGAAAATTTGTGGCGTATCTTCGTCGCTTGAGACTTCAGGAGACTCAGGAACAGTGACGTTAATTGACGGTGATGAGGGGATGGTATTTGTAGAAGAATCTGAATCTTCTGAACATTTTGACGGATCTAAACTTGAGGGTAAATAATTTTTATCAAAAACTGAATCATCTGAATCAAAATCCAGGATGCTGTCTGAGCTGTTATGAAGATCTGCATCATTCAAAGAGTTATTTTCGTTCGTAGTAGATAAAGGCAGCTCATAATAATTAGTATTCAGGTTTGACTCCTGGGAAGAACTGGTTGATCGCACCATCGAAATTATTTTTGAGCATCGATTATGTCGCATTTTGTCACACTGAAACAAATAAATAAACAAAATACTTAGAAAAAATCACCGGCGCAGAAAAAATAAATGAAAAAACTGAAAGATATTATCTGAATACAAACTTTCATATCCAACTATACAAAAAACTCATTATGGTAATAATAAAACAAGGCATAAATGTATAAACTGCAAACCTCTTCATTGTGATAGTTGGTACTCAACGGTGTAAACAAATTCGAAAAAAAGCGTTTAGCTAGATTAAGGTGTTGTTTTCTAACCGATATATTTAATATTGAAATATTTTAACATAAAAGTAGATATATTTATTTGTGTCACCTGATAGGTTTGCAGTTTTTTCAATCTTAAATTACTCATGGGTATGCTTAAATATACATAAATTATAATTCCAGGAAGTTTGACTTACGATTTTTCCGTAGTTATAGCTCGAAGACCGCGCGCGCGTATTGTCACTCTGTCTGCCTGGACGCAACTGAAGCGCAGTAATACCAACCGCGAGCCCCACTTCACCCCGCACAACTAGCAATACTAAGTAGGAAAGGCACTACTGCCACTTGCGCCTGCCCATTTTTCGTAATACTACGCTAAAAAGGCACATCTGCGCAGAACAGTCTTTTCTTCTTATGACCATGCAGAAGTATCTTTTCATTTTATGATGAATTAAATATTTTGTAAATAAATAAGACGCTTCTACCGAAATGCGTTTTTTCAACTTAGTGGACTTCAGAAACGTCTTTTCTATTTAGTAATATTTGATTCATATCGCAGATGCGTCTTATTTAACAGTAAGATTTATAGGGTTCCGTTTAATTTATGTGAAATATAAAAATACTGGTGGATGCCATTTTTTTTACTGAATTAGAACATTTATGTAACTCCATTTCGAAAAAAATGTTAGATACGTCTTTTTTCCTTATGGCGGCAGTATTATAACTACTAAATATATTTCACTTACGATGCATCATTTATTATCGTAAGTGTTTGCAATAAAATTATTAACCTAAGATTATATCGTAAGCGACAGGTACTATACTAACGATCTGTCAGTCGGTGGAGGTTACGTTAAAAAAACTGAATGGGTTGTAACTTACGAAAAAAAATTTCGTAATTAAAAAGAGTTAATTATCATTTCTACTTTGAACTCAAGGAAGTGACAAAAAGATTCAAAATCAGTTGATCTGGCGGTTAATAATTAAAACCGTTTTTTGGGAATTTTGGCGCTTACGATGTTCTTCCTGAAAAGGCTCGACCAAAGAGTATATTATACTCTTTGGTCAAGTATATCTGTTACTGATTACTGTCAATTTCAAAAGTTCCGTTTCATTTATTAATTAGTGATTTATGAATAGAAAATTATATTAAATATTTCGACGCAGCTCCGGCAGCTAAAATTGCATGGGGGCGCTTGAGATAAGCCCCCTTGCCACCCCCCCCCCCCCCCTTCCCACAGTGACAGACTCCTCAAATTCAGGCGACTTGATTCTAAACCCAACCCAACAAAGCAGTCCCCAGTAATTGCTGTCGGTCTTTGGCTCTCTTATCTCTATTTTAATAGAATCACTCAGGAGTTCCACATTAAGCTTAGGTGCGTCCAGTACCAGCATTTTTGGAAATTAAACATTTTTTCATTAATTTCCACTTAATAAAATTTCTTCTACTCTCTTTACAATTTCTGGGTGTATTTCGTCTCCATAACCCTTTTCACTGCTGGTGGTATCACCCAGCGCCTCTAAGATCGATTTATCTAAGGTGTTATCTTCCTCCACCATTGAGCTTTCAATACCTTGAAAACAAATAATTTACTTAAGTTAAAAAAACCACACTGATAACAGTGACCCACTGTAATAGGTGTAGAAAGTTAGTATCCTATTAATTTTGGTAGTGCTTTCGAATATACCTTATTATACTAATTACTGAAATTAAAGAATAACTATTACAATCAAGGTCACCGACCTTGAATTGTTATTTTTATTTCTGTATCATTTGAATCAAGGTAACTGACCCTGTTTTCATTACGTACTTACTTAAATATATATTGAAAATATAACAGCAAACGCCAGAGAACTTTTCTGTGTTCACTATAACCTATAGTAAAAAATTACTAGCGTTTAAGTAATAAATCCCACATATTACCGACAAGTAATTATAATCACAACTTGTGAACAAATTACCCTTAGAGAGCCCTTACATTCAACAGGAACTATAAATTCTTGTTCCAGATTTTCGATGTCATTAGCAGTTAATTTTTCTTTGAATTTTTTCCTCCGAGTCACTATCCAGCTTTCTTTTAGGCATATTTTTGCACTTTTTCTAACTTTTTATAATAATATTAGATATTTTTTGCGTCGTACCCCTTTCGCACCTGAGATATTTGTTCCTTTGATTTGAAATGAGAACTATAATATTTTGGCAAAGAAGTGGTAATATTAATGTAAAAAATAGTAAAAAAATCCAGCGTACACCAGAACTCTGGAAAGTCGATAGCATGATAGTGAGCTCTAGGGCTGACTTCTACCAACTCACGATCGTGCGTTTTTAAGTTTTGATGAGATTTTAATGCATTGATGGTGTCAGCTTACTTCAAAAAATATTTATAATGAAATAAAACGCATCTGGTTATTAGAAAAGACTTATTTAATTATTGCCAACATTACAGTTTAGGTACAAAATTTCAGTCTTTTGTTTTCATTGTAATAAAAATGCTCTTTCAGCAGACAACTTAGAAATTAAAAGAAAGGAAACAAAAATATTTTTACGAAATAAACAATGAGATAAAGTCATGCTTCTTAGGAAACAAAAACTTAACACAAAAACATAGAAATCAACTCAAAAGCCATTCTGGCTGTACAAAAATAACATAAAACTTAATACTTAGATAATCTTTTGAAATATCTTTCTAAATCACAGTCTTTACATAGGAAACGTTATCAAATAAGACTAGTTTCTTTGGTGATACAAAAAAAAGCAGTCTTTATCACGACTCAAGCATAAGTAAATATCACATTTACGGCACCTAATTTTAGAGCGAGATGAACAAATCTCTAAGCGACATTTGCGAGGAGCCTTCAAGTCGTCAAAAATAGGAAAATGTTCGTAACCATCAAACCTCTTTCCCACAGACGGATGATTAGCGGGTTTGTATCTGCCCGAAGTTTGTGCCTGCGTTTCAAGTAATGGGGATGAATCGCGCCGATCTCTGTCAGGAGTGCAGATGTGTGTCTCAGCAACTTCAAATCTGAATGAAAGGAGATCTAATATTCGATTTTTAGGAATGCCTTTAGCCAATGAGTCAGATCTGTAGAGCCGCCACGAATTTACCATTGCTAGGTCTATAAAGTGTAGTATGACCTTGAGAGTCTATTTACGGGTCTTCATGAATGTACGGTAATATTCCATAGATTGGTCCAAAACATCCACCCCGCCCATGAAAGAGTTGTAGGATGTTACAATTTTTGGAGCACCAACATCGACGTAGCATTTTTCTGTTTTATTGTACCGCTTTACTATGTCGGTTGTCGTGCCCCCAGTACAATTTGATGCTGTCAATACCGCCTTGCTGTCCTTCCATTTTACCAAAACTACGTCGTTTGATACCCTTTGTTCAATTTCTCCTCGTGTCATTTTTTTGTCATCTTTGAACTTAAGCTGCTGTCGATCTGGTACCCGGTTAAGCATAATTGTCCCTGTGCCATGATAGTCCATTTTCGTTAATTCTTCCAACAGGGGAACCGTTGTAAAATATCGGTCAAAAAAAATGCAGCTCCCGCGTGGAACACTTTGACTCAAGCGAAGAACTACAGCCGGTCCAAGCCCCAAAGGATGCGAAAGAGCGGGATTATTGCCATAGTATATTTCAAAATCCACCATTAGCCCTTCACTAGTAGTAACCACGAAATTCTTAAGACCCACTGGGCGAGGCTTGTTCTTTACAAGCTGGCGAAGATGACACTTGCCAGTGAAAGGTATCATTTGTTCCTCGATCGAATACCTGCCCGGGGTCCTTAGAATTTTGTTGCAGCCTTCTCTCACAATGTCGATCATCGGCTGAACCTTCCAGAGAGGATTATTTGCTTCCGAAACGGGTGGAGAGTCGGAATCCACGACGTGCAAACTGTTTCTTAAAGTTGTCAGTCTATCTCTTGTCATTGCAGAAACAATCATGTCAACTTTAATATTTCTTCGCCAGTACATTGCGATCCTGGGATATGATAGTATACCCATCAGTAGATGGATACCAATCAGTTTTTTTATTTCCGGTTTGGTTGTATTTAAGACTCGCCCAGTTTTTCTTAAATAGTATAAGTTTGTACACAATGCCATGCGCTCGTAAAAATTATCATTATAATAATCATTATAATATTCAACCGGCGATCTTATTTCATTTGGTTGTGGATGACCTGAGTAGTTATGTGATTTATCGATGTAATCAGTTTTCTTCCATAACCTTTTACGAGCAGGCAATTTCACTATAACAGCCTTTGATTTTTGTGTTACTTTTGAACAAGGTGTTTGTTTTGACTTTTTAGAACAAGATGGGCCTGCTTCACTCTCATTCATGTTATCAGATGTAGACTTCCTTTTAGACACTTTACCTTTAATATTTTCCGATTTCACAGCTGCCGCAGATAAGCGAGGCGGAGAGGATAGCTCAACTTCACCTTCTTCATCATTTTCCAGCTGCAGAGGAATAAACTCTTCATCGTCGTCGTCGAAGTCCAACTCGGAACAGTTACCATCATTGAGGATGCCCAAGACGAGGTCATTGTTCAATGGCATGCCTGTAGTTAAAGAAATAAATCGAAAAATAACTTAAAAATGAATGAACTCACGATCATGCGTTGGTACAATTGCAACCCAGATATCACGACAGTGAGCTGACAATTTTGTCGTAAATTAAGTTGGTAATTACTAAAAATATAGAAGAAAGTTATAGTCATTCAGATGAATCATATACTTAATAATGTAATACAATCATAATATCAATGATTTCTTACGAAATTTGCAAAAAAATAAATATAACTTACGGCGTCCAGTGACGGGGTCAAGAAACGCAGCCATCTTGTCGGTGCGCTCGCGGGTACTGATCGCGCTAGACGCCAAAACCGTTTCCTATTGGATAGATTGATGAGCGCACGACCATGCGATGTCGGTTTAACGCGGAGAAACGGATTTGGCGCGAACTTATAATTTTTCAAAGAAGAAACTCACGATCGTTTCATTCGGGTGCGAAAGGGGTACGCTGCGTACACACAGGCGCGAAAAAAGCGAATGATTGACAGATCGAGTCTTGCCAGTTTTTTATTTTGCTTTCTAATAATCGTGCACACAACCTGAAGATTGTGGAACTACAAAGTAAATATATCTCGGACTAAGTAAGAGTATAATTATTTTTATACCTACTTACTAATTTAATCATTGTTACATCTATTTACAATCTTTTTAAAATTCTTTAAGTTCTTAAGTATATTTTCATTTAGTTTAATGAAGGAATCCAGAGCCGATTCCTTCCTTATCAGTTCCGTGAGTTTGTATGGCGACACTCTTTTAAGTTATTGCACAGTAATTCATGATATATTCTGTATCGGCAGAAGGCGAGGCAGTTCTCCAACAGATGTTCCAACGTCTGAGCTGTGCTGTTGTCGCACGGACATTTATTGTCTTTAATGATTTTAAATTCTATTAAAAATTGTTTATATCGGACAACTTGAATCCATAGAAATTGTTAGTAGAGAAAAACTTACATCTATGTTAGTAATATAATTTATACTTATTTTACATAGTCCTGGAGATCATATGTCTGATCAGTGGACAGTCCCCACTGTCGGCAATCTCACTCAGCACACTGTGGCCGCTGCCGTGCACTCTGTTTAGCAACGAAGCGGTCTTTTTTTCGGATTATTGCATCAAAGCTATCCACACGAGCCAGTGTAAACATCGCAGACGAGCTACAGTAACGCGGCAGTCGCAATAGCGCCCTAAATACATTATTGTATTCAGTACGTAGGGGGTTTAAAACGATGCAGATATGTTTTATGATAACCGTGTCCTGTGAGAAATTGTGTAAGGTAGAAGTTAGTTGCAGTCAGTGTTCGTAGACTTTTAATATCATTCAGTGTGGGAAGAAGGTTTCTTGTGCGTTTACCCTGTGATGCACTGAGGTACCTAGTTTGCCAGGTGGAGCGATTGTTTTTCCTAATTATGTGCTTGATGTGTGTAATAGGGAACTCGGAGTAATCAGGCGACTTGTGAAGTCTAGAGCCCGCACTAGCGGCCTCATCGGCGGCTTCGTTGCCCGATATACCTTAGTGTCCCTTAACCCAGTTGATGTGTATGGATTTCGTCATCTCTTTCTGTAATAAATTCTTTGAACATGTCGATGTGCCTGCAACCGCATGTTGACCCTGAATGTGTGCAGTCGTGGATGACATGTATGTCTTTCGTGTTGGGCAACGATGAAGATTCGAGTACAGGTCGATGATTGCCGCTTTGAAATAGTCTTCCCAATCCGTCTGATGGAGCTTCCCATATGTCATGGATAATCCTTCGTTTGAAAACCACACCACGAAAGTGTCAAAGGAACAATTGATAAAGCTCTTCTTGTTGTTCTTTATCCACTTGAAAAGTTCTTAATGTTTTGTATATTTTAACCATTTGTGTACATAAGATAATTTTATCCTTTAAACTGTGACTCTGTATTGCTAGAAGCCACGGACGCATTATCCGTAATGTCACACAACGCTTGTCCACAAACTCTTTAACCATCCTATAAAGGGATGTTTTTGGATTGCTTTCACTTTCGTAATTTTGGTTCTTTTTTGGACCTTTTTTGTCTTTTTTGGCTGGTAGTTCCACTTCCACATACAACACAGCTTGTGTGTTGATTAAATCTATCATTTTATCCTGATGACATTGCTTCTGCACAAGTTCCACAGAGTCTTCGTTTTCTTTGTAAGTAATCGGTGATGTTTCCCTGCTTACTGACATCTTTAAAAATTAAAAACTCACGAAGAGACTCAATATTGAATAATGTTAACACCATCGAGACATGTTGTAGACTGTGCTCGACAGTGCTGCCACATGTCAGTTTAACAAATCTGTACTGTTAATGTAAAAAAATCTGTATAATATCTGTTGAAAGGAATCAAAGAAAATCTGTATGAATCTGTGGAATCAAAGTAAAAGATTTTGACCTATGTAAGTTGAGGGAAGGAGATGTAATAATAAAAAACAATTAAAATTATAGAAATATTTATTTAGATTTATATATTTCTTTGTTAATTTTATCCAACATAATTTTGTCTGGAGAGAAAGAGTAACAACATTCATTATTATTGTTAATTAGCTGTTTGGTTAAAATTAATGCTTCGATAGTCTCAGTGTTCAAGCTATTCCTTGTCTTGGTTTTAATTAAATTAATTGATGAAAATATTCGTTCTATAGCCGCTGTAGAGTGGGGCAAACATAGAAGGTTCTGAATAAATTCTTTTGATGTGGGGTATAGCAAATTTCCGTCTATATCGACGATGCTAAAAACTTCGGCCCAAAATTTCTCTAGATATTCTTCGTTCAATTTTATAATATGTTCATATAATCTCAAATAGCGCCATTCATTGTCCAATGCCTGCAATTTATTTTCCTATACTAATTGTGGAAAATTACAAAACTTATTAAAGAATACTAGATTACAAAACTCATAGAAATTCTTGTTATCTATTTCTATTATAATTAATAATATATTTTCTCCATTCATACCATCTGCAATTTTTGCATTAATTCCTGTAGCCACTGTATGGCTCAAAACTTGTGCAAGTTTTACTTGCATCTTCTGTTTCGGGTTAGGATCAAGATGATCTTTTGTAAAGGCAGGAGCGAAGACAAAATTTGGATTTTGTCCACATCAAAAAATTCTTTGATGTGTGACCATTTGGCAACACCTGTAAGAAAACAAAATGCAGGTTAGAATGCAAAAGGAGCTATAGAATAATAAGCACCACGGATAATATTCCTAATCATAGTTTAATTATATTACTTCAACAGGTGTTTTCTTCTCATGACAACATATTATGATTTATTAAAATACCATCTATCATAGAGCATTCAGTAGCAGATGGATGATTCATAGGACTATTTCAATCATTATTATATCATGATATCATGGCCTTATATGTATAAAATATGTAATTATTTCTTGTAATTTAGTTTATTTGATTAATTTAGGTGACTAGATTTTTATGTAAAATTCTGCAACAAGCTTTGTCAAATAATTTATATAAAATGCAGAATTACTCTTCAAATTACCTGTTCCAATCTCACTACCACATGAAATATTTGTTCTGCACTGAATGTCATATTTCATAAATAAATTTCAAAAATGCTTTAACAAATGTGGTGTATCAAAAAGTGTCGTTATTTCTTTGTTGTGGAATGTAAAATAGGGTTGTTGCATATTTGCACCCTAAATAGAGAGAATTCGCGAATTTACTCCGTCTATGTCACAGACTGTTGTAGATATATCTATCCCAGCCTGAAAGCACTGATTTAAGACCTGAAATTAAAAATCATATATAGTTTACTGCTGTTGAGATTGTTTAGTCAACTTTTTTAGATATTTAAAGAAAATGAAACATCATATAAAGTACTATAAACTTCCTCTTTCATTAGTACAGCAAGTCTGTTTGCAGTTGAAAATGCACTGGAGAAATAGTGGGTACCATGGTACCATGATCCTGATACCCTTCAATAAAATCATCTTTTGGGTTGTACATTACTTGTTGTACATTTCTTGGAAGCATCTGTGAAATCACCTTCATTAAAATGTTATTTTGCCTGCATTCAATACAAATTGGGTTCTTACATAGAAAACACAAATAGGCTGTTATGCGTTTGTTCCTGGGATCACAAGACGAGCATGTTTTTCTTTTTTTCAAGTTTTTCAGGGGTTTCAACTGACGGCGTACTAGGTATTTGATTAACAGAAACAGAAACAGAAAAGGAAAAACAGAAAAGAATTAGGTCTTCTGCCATTTTTTTAATGAAAATTAATCGTGGTAGCTTTCGCTGCGCTTGGTTCATGTTAATAACAGTGTATGCGTTCACAGAAGATATATCAAGTATTCTATAAAATATTGCCATTGGACAACGTTGCGTTCGTCTATTACTCCACGTCTATCGTCTAGACGTGGAGTACATTGCACATTTCTGATCTAACATATAACGCCGCCCTTTGTTATTGTAAAACATGATCATTTCCGGTTTTTCCGTATTTGTATTAATAGTTGGCGTGTGGGGCATGCTGAACAAAACAAGCACAGACCTGTTTGGTTTTGGTACAAAAGATGTCAGTGTAGCTTCGGAGGTAACCCAAAAATAGCTGATCCAATTTCTCGATGACGGCTGGGAAGAACCTGAGGTGGAATTTCACGTTTGTTTTTCTTCACGGTACCCACTAGTGTCAGTTGCTTTAGCACATTCATTAGCTCCACTGAAGTAAACCAATTATCAGTGGTCACGTTTCTCTACGTACCATCTCTTGAAGTTATTATATGCAAAACTGCCTGGGTAGGTTTGTTCAATCTTTGGTATTCAGCTGGCATTCCTATGCTGTCAGAATCTTTTCCTAAATACATGTAAGCATCCAACAGATATCCAGTTTGGCCATCAGTAATGCACATGATTTTCAGACCATATTTGTGTGGTTTATTCGGCATGTACATTTTAAATTGGCACCTTCCACGAAAAGCTACCAGCATTTCATCAATGCAACCAAAGCTGCCGATGGAACGGTCATCTTTACAGTTTTGAATAAGTATTTCAAACAGTTGTGTTATTGGTGCAGCTAAATCACTGCTGCGGCGTTCAGTCAAATCATAGAGTACAGATAGATGATACCCTTGAGACAAGAAGACAGCAGTGCAAGTAATATTTGTTTGTAATTTGTAATTTGGCGATAGAAATAGATAAGAGGACCTGTCCAGACGGATCCTTGGGCAAAAAGGAGAGCACCAAGTTATATGATATTACCTATACCTGTGATTATGGCCATGACGGTGACCATGACGATGGCCATGAAGATGACCATGACGATGACGATGATCAAAATCAAATCAAACCGTAGACAATTGAGCATTACGTCAAACCTGTTTTTGCTCATTATGCAGCGATAAATTTCCCTGCCGGTGCCATCTTTGCTGTACCAGCTCGTGTATTGCGTTTGGTTTTCTTTGAAAATGTTAGTATAGTAGAGTACACCAATGAGACCCCTTAATTCAATTACATATAAATCATAAACAGCTGTTTCCCTCTGATGATTACATCGAATTTTCCCAATTTTTTCATTTGTATGCTTTACTATTTCTTCTAACATACCTTCAGTGGAAAACAAGTTCCACAAAACCAGGGGCTTCATATTCTCGTGCAGAACACCTCTAAAGTTAGGTTTGAGACCGGGTGGTTGCTGTATGATGTTATTTGATTTTGAATCTGGAGGATGGGCAGACCAACCAAACCGGTTCTTACCAAGGCAGTTTCGGAGCCTTGCCAATGGAACATTTAGGCTAGTTTTGCTATATTTCACTAGGCTAGAAATGACATCTAGGACAGATTTATCTGGGTCGCGTCGATTTCGGGAATATTTTTTTTTTATAGGATAGGGTGACAAACGAGCACATAGTCCACCTGTTGGTAAGTGATTACTGTGACCCATAGACATCTACATCTATCCTCAATAAAGACTCAAGATGCAGATGCGTTGTCGCCCGTGAGGACTAAGATGGAATGCCTCTTTGCCAGTAAAAAAGGTCTCCGGTTCTCTACACTCACCATATGAAACACAGCAGCGTTAAGCTGCTATTTTACGCTGGTTTTTTATTTAAATTTTCTTATTAAAATAAATTATTACGTTGAAACGGCTTACCCAACAATTATCGTAGACACAGGACTTTCTACGAGTATTCAAAAATATCTATAGCTGGCCACTGTCCTGTTTATATAAAAATATTTTGTGCCTTTTGTGATTATCCTTAAACTCGATACATATTTTAATTTCTTTTCAATGTATGTTATATGTACATATATACTTAAAAATATATTGTTCTAAAGCAGTGTTTGTTATTTTAATCATAGAATGTACACAAATAAACTGTTTTAACCAGTATATAAAGAATTTTCATTTTCTGATGCCCAATTTTTTTAATAAATCTCAACGTTGAGTGTGCAGTTTGTCAACAATTAATGATAATATAGTTTCGAAGCAAATTTTATTCGTCGTGTTGCAATATATAATGCATAATGTGAACAAATTTTATTTTTGATTGTTAAGGGGGTATTCCCCTTAATATTGTAAGTGTCCTTTTTATAAAATTACTTTAACTGTAAGCGAAGCACCTTGTTGATTGACGAGGCTTTGACAGCCAACTAATGGTGAAAATCCACCCCAAAAAGTCTAATCCACATCCTGTGGGCTGTTTATGGTAAAGCAGCATCACCAGTTGGATGGCGTCGTCTCTGCGCTCAAAAAGCGGTTTACCTTGCGTGGTTACTTATTGATTTTAAACGGTTTTAATTTTAAGTGATCTCGGACATTAGTTGCCACAAGTTTTCGTTGGTACTTCTAAACAGGTGATGCTAAGTCTGCTCGAATTCACAACACAATTATTAGTTTTAAGTTTGCATAATTTCATTATGTAATTTTATTATAGAGCATGCTTTGATCAACTGTGGATCTTTCATTTTCGTTTTTAAATGATTGTATCATCGGCCTTTTAAAATTACAAAAAAGACGAAATTTTAATTTCTTTCGCCGATTTTTTTATTTTTATTTTATTTCATTTCTTATGCTTACGGGAATATTACACAAAGAATGGAATGAAAATAATACGCTTCCATATAATAAGTAAGAAAATTAGTGTGGTTAGTTATAAGGAACTTTTATCAAGAAATGCATACCTACTAGTGGCATATTCTTAAAATGTTTGACGACGACACTGACGTCAAATTAACTGTATGAGATTTTAAGAATAAAATTACTGTAATAAGTTATCGTACTTAAAATCTAGTTTCTTAGAATTTTTATTTCATATTTAAAAAGTACTTTTTTTGTTAACAACTACCAACTAAACAAACATTTCATACTCACGGTTAGTTTTTGGATGTACGTCAGTTCAACTGATTAGTTCAACAGACCGTGTGCCCGAAAAAATCGTACGTTGCCGTCAGTTAAAAATTTCAACTTAAGATTTTACACTCATGGTCAGTTTTTGTATGTACGTCAGTTCAACTGATCAGTTTAACTGATCGTGTGTGTCAGCCATAATACTGGTTATCACATATTATGGTTCAATCTATGTACTGGAGCTATTTTACCAATGTTGGTCCTGGTCCTACATAAATCAAAATTTTTTATCATGTGTTTTTGGGTGGTAACTGTGAACTCTTAATCACATTTTTTAACAGTGATGACGTTTATTAGGGCACGTCGGCAATTTAAAATAGCTTTGCTAGGAACGTTATTAGGATTATGAGCTGGAAGCTTAAGAGTATTAAACTAGTTAGTTGAATACTCTAAGACTGGAAGTAAAGCAAAGTGGTGGACCATACTTTATATTACTTGTTTTCGTGTTTTACGGTGTTGTCTTGAGGATCTTATATATTAAAAGGAGGGAAAAATAAATAACAACTCACAATTCAGTTACTTTTAATAGTTTTATTTCAGTTTCATAATTTATACAATCTATGGGTAGATAGATACAAATATTAATTAGATCAGATCACACAGCTAAGCAGTTTATATGTTTACACATTATTATAAATATACTTTCATCAACATTTGAATAATTTAACCCTTAACAAATAACCCTTATAAAGTGATCCCCAAACACTTCGTGGTCGTCTCAAAACACAGATGGTATTCACTTATCTCTAACACTAAAAATATTATTATAATGTAAAAATATCGATAACATTCAATTACATTATTGTAACGAATTCTTATTCAAGAACAAAAATAGTTTATTTATTAATATTTCATTAGTAAAAACTAGATGACGTTATGTCGCTTAAAGGTTTAGTGTTAGGAAGCTACCAGCCGGCGGTACATATGGCAACACTACAAGACTCAATGCGCTCTTACATGGCAACACCGCCGACCACCCCTTGTGTAATAAGTGCGTTTCTCATAAAAAATAAATACTTAAATATAGGCATACTATGTTTAAAATTTCTTACAGTTATACAATGTTACGCATAATCAATGACACACCCCCCACCACTCCGGGTGGGGATTAAATCTAGCAATAAACGATGAAAATAGACCACGCGACTGTCCGTCGGTGTTGTAAATCTTTTATTTATGATAATGATTATTAAACAAAATATATATTCTCGAAATTGACTTAGATATGTTATTAAGGCAACGTGTGAATTGCACTAGACAAATTGACAATATAAAAATACCTATAGTTCTAAGACAACAGCCAAAGCGATAATATAATACGGCGATTAGCGTTCGTTACTATATAAACATGATTACAGACTCCGTGGATGTTTTCTAAATTAGTAACAAAAGTTAAACAACCAAAATATATAAACAACTTAAATAAAAAAGCGAAATTAAATACTTTATTTGTGCATCCACTTTTTTTTTGTGATTTTCGTATTTTTTTTATAAAAATATCGTCAACATGTTATTTAGGGTTGACTATGCGGAAATCGGTTTTGGCCGCGATGTCGTAAAGAGCTTCGCCCGGCTTTCCTTACTCATCGAGTGTGCACCAGTTTCTCGCTGTAACGACTAACGGTAGAACTGTTGTGTCGCTGCACAAGCACAGAAAGATCATCAGGTTGTATATTTTATAGTGGCAACACCAAGCAATAAGCAGCTTGTAAGTTTGTGTTAACTCAGCCTGCACAAAAGTCTACCAAATCCTACCAAACTTTATAATATGCTACAATTTTAAAAACAGCTGACAATCTTTAAAAAATAATTAAAATTTAATTAATCTTTAAATATTTCTTCATTAAAAAACCTCTAAAGTATTTTAGATAGGGAGTGTATCGAACTTTCTGTTTTGAATTTTGGCAACTTTAGAGCAGGCATGCTAAAAATGGTTATTACTAACAAATTTCTACATATTATACTGCCAATTGTGAAATGTAACAATTTTTGTAACCTAATCGTTTTTTATATCTTAACCTGTGACGTTAATTTTATTAAGCGATAAGGGTTCCCCGCACACAAACCGAACCGTTCTGCATCCGGACCGTATGACGATAGAGATTGTTACAATGTGTTTAGACAATATTTGGAAATTTGTGAATAATTCTTGTTATAGCATCTTATCAAAAATATGTAGCTTTTGAAAACAATATTCACTGGACTCAATTTTACAACAACATTGTTAATGATATTAGAATATATTTATGTAAGAAATGTTCATCGTATGTAAGACATGCGGTCCGGTGGAAAGTGTGTATAATGTATTAGTATATTATGTTGTGTGAATGTTTCACATAAATATATCATGCGATTAACGTTTATGTTCCGGATACGGTCCGGTTGTATACATCGTGTAAAACTGTCGTGATTAATATCCGGATTGGATTTTGATAGTGTGAGTAGAATTGTTGTGTTTTAGTGCATGTATAGTGTCCGGTGTGTAAGTGTGCGGGTGCGCGCGTGTAGTGCGTATTTACATGAGCTTCTGCTTGGCGCACTCCGGGCAGATGATGTCCTGTCCGTCGGTGATGAAGCCCTTGCCCACGAGCGAGGTCTTGCACTGCGCGCAGATGAAGCAGTCATTGTGCCAGTGTCGGTCCTCGAATGAGATGAAGCGAGTGCCGCCGATACCTGCGGACAATGTATTATTTTATAAGTTTTACGAGTCAATACGGACTTGGCAAGTTTTTAGTCTAATTGAAGTAGATGTCGTATAGTGGCGAGTAAGAGAATGCAATCATCCCGTGGGTATCGTAAGAGGTGACAAAGGGAAATGAAACAAAATGGGAAGCAGCATCTTCCTGATAACAACTTAAAATAAGAAAAAACTAGGATTGGCCAACCTGCCTGCCCAGCGTCACAACTATGGCAATTATGGGGAATCTCTAATAGGCCTAAGTTCACCAGGGAACTTTTGATTGTGGCTGTAATAAAAAAATTAAACAAAAAGTTGTTAAAGAACTTTGAAAAAATTTAATTTGTTTCGAATTACCAAGTTTAGGAGATCGTTATTTTCATACACTCTCATATACCTTTATAATTTTAACATTTAGAATGTCATTATTTTTTAAAGAATAGTAGTAATGCTTTTTAATAAGTTTAAAATGTTTGTGTGATAGTATCCTCAATTAAGAATCAAAATGTAAATGCGTTGTCACACCTGAGGACTAAGTTGGAATGCCCCATTTCCAGTAAAAAGTGTTTTCGGTTCTCTACACTTACTATACGAAACACAGCAGCATTAAACTGCTATTTTACGCTGATATTCTGTTGATTTCTGTACCCCGGTCGAGCCGACTCATTCGTGCCACAACCATAATATAGTTATAGCGTGGCTCTACCGCGTATAAAAATTGGTTTATTCTAGAAAGACGGCAAGTTCGTATAATTCGCTATCGGAGCTGTACGAATCGGATGTACAATACTCACCAGTGATGGGCTTGCTGCACGAGGTGCACCGCTTGGCGAAGAGTTCTCCGAAGCACTCCGCGCAGTACGGCTTCTCGTCGCGCGAAGTGAAGCGCTGGCCAGCCAGCGACGTGTTGCAGTGCGTGCACGTGAAGCACTCGCGGTGCCACGGCTCGTTTTTATAGGTAACGCCGCCTTGCGTGATTATCTGTCGAGTGTTTTAGCACCTTAATAACGAGTAGTGAGCCGAATTTGTTGCTATGTATGCAATACGAAGGCAAAATAGTAGACTGTATTTAGTAAGTTTGAATGTTGAATAATGATTCTTGCAAAACCTTACACATATAATTTTATTTGTAAAAATATATGAAATGTTAAATAACTTATCTTAGACGTTTATATAAAATTTTACATAACGGCAACATATTTTTTTATTTCCTTATTTTTGTAGGTTTTTATTATTTAAAATTGAAATTACAGTTGTAAAGTATCTTAAGTATTTTTTAAGCAACATAAGTATAATAATAATAAATCATTTTTATTTCCTCTTCACAAAGGTATAAAATTTCACATTATTACTTAGGTAAATAATACGGTTGCAGACAATTTGTAACCTTTGTGAGAGACTGGTGTCCATACTAGGGTAATCACCAGGCCCTCACCCTAACGAATTGCACATAATATTTACATTTTCAATTATACTACAAGGAATGATTCTATATGGTTTTTTTTAAAGTTATTTCTATATAAATAAAAATAGTGCGTGCGCGTGCGTGCGTGCGTGCGTACGTGCGCGCGCACGCGTGTGTGTGTGTGTGTGTGTGTATTAGGTATGTGTTTTTAGGATAATAATGTCAGTAAATTTTCAGCAGCCTTATAATCGATATTTAGCAACCATTTCTGTAATTTTTGTTTACATGCATGTTTTGTTAGAGAGTAAATTAATAAACGTTTATTCAATTTATTATAAAGGTGACCTCCCAGGAAACAGAAAAATCTATGTGAAAATTGGGTCTTTAGACATTTACTGGGACAAACTACATATTTCCTTCTTTTGTCATTATTGGAGGACTCATACTGTATCATAGAATGTTGTACTCGTAGTAGCGCAGTGTGTAATATAAACAATTTGCGAACAGATAAGACACTACAGTGTTGATAAAGGTCAGTTGTAGGGAAAAGGAAAAGGAGTATGTGTGTGGCACAGAATTTTACAAAAGAATTTGACGATTGGTCATAACTCAAATATTGTAAGTAATATTATATCACTTTACAACTCTATAATTCACGATATTTGATGTGTGCTGTGTGCTCCCAAACGGATGAACGGAATTAGATTTAGATATTTTTTTTTGTTTGTAAGGTGACTTGGGCGTGAATGTTCTTAGCTATGATCCAATTAAATATTTTTAGCAGTTTGACAATCATCAGTTCTTTTTGTTTCTTCTAATCGCTTAATAGACTCACATTTAAAAAGTATCCATTGTAAACAATCGTGAAACGCTATGACCGTTTTTAGTTTTAAAGAAAAGTTCAAGAACCACACATAATATATACAATGCTATGCTTCACTTGCTGCACACACTTATATACTATGCTATGCTGTGCTGCACTTATATACTATATTCTAAAAGTTCTACCGTGTACCTACATAATACAATGCAGACTTGAAATCAAACTGATAATGTTGTAAATAATAAAATGAACATGTGTTGCGAAAATATGAAAAAAAATTAGGACAATGCAAATGTTGACCTCAATCATCGCAACAACCAAAAAGGCCGACCAAATGCGAGTTGGACTCGCGCATGAAGGGTTCCGTACCATCATAAAACATATTTCTACTAGGGGAGCCCCCTTTTTATTTTTATGACTTGTTGTTACAGCGGCAACAGTAATACGCATTCTGTGAAAATTTCAAGTGTTTTAACTTACGGATCATGATATACAGCCCGCTGATAGACAGACGGATGGACGGATAGCGGAGGCTCAGTAATAGGGTCCCGTAGGTTAACCTTCGGAACCCTAAAAACATCAGGGCAGATGGAACTTAAATTACGTTAGCACTATTATTTATTCTGCACTAAACTGACACGGAGGTAGATATAAAGATGATATATTTGGACACGTAAAATGATAGATACAAAATGATGTCCATTTATTGGTTGTGCTGTCGCTGTTGGAACCTGTTTAATTAAACAGGTTCCAACTAGGTGGTGTGACAGAGTTGTCAGTGAGCTCACCTTGTTGCACTTAACGCAGCGCGTGGCGAACTTGTCCTCGTAGCAGCCGGCGCAGTAGATCTCCTGCTCGCGCGGGATGAAGCTCTTGGTGCCGATGGGGTTCTTGCACACTACGCAGCAAAAGCACTTCTCGTGCCACTGCCTCGTCTTGTACTCCATCTTCTTGGTACCTGCGACGACAGAACATAACTGGTAAGCGATTGTTTTAAATTAACCGTGTAGCGGCGGTGTAAGAATATCCACAACCCCATATCGCCCGTGGGTATCATAAGAAGCGACAGAGGGAAAATGAAGCAGGCGATGGGCAGCAGCATCTAATAAAAACTCCTAATAATAAAAAAAAACTGGGCTTTCCTATCCGTTTGCCAAGCGTGGTAACTATGGCAAAATCCCCTATGAGGCAATCTATGGAGGACGCCTATGTTCAGCAGTGGACTTTTATAGAATGTAATGCATATAATGGATGACCTCCGTCTAGGATCCGGACGTTACATGTTTTCGATCACGATTCGACTTAGTAGTGCAATAGTTAAGGCGCTGCAGGGCTGCGGGTTTATATCCTGCATGGAACAAGTTTTTTGTAAGGCCTTGGTTCCTAAGCCCACCACAAAACGAGAGAAAAACCTACTGTGGGGTAAACTGTGGTTGAAAATACAACCCATAAACCGTTTATTTATCATCATCATAATCATTACAGCTTATTAAAGTCCACTGCTGAACATTCCCTCCACACATTGCCTCATAAGGAGGCAATTTTTGCCATTAATTTATGTTTATATACAAATGTTGGTTCCGGTGACTCGAATTTAAGACCTATGACGTAATAGGTCACTAGTACTACTAAACGGTACTGGAATAGTAATTCACTAATTAAACATCAAATGAATTTTTCTTTTTATGAACAGTTAAACTATTGTTTTTATTTTAAATAATAAGTACAAACGAGCACACAGCCCAGCTGATGGTAAGTGGATGCTGTGGTACATGGACATCTACAACTATCCTCAATTAGAATCAAAATGTAGATGCGTTGCCACCCCTGAGGACTAAGATGGGATGCCTTGTTTCCTGTAAAAAGGGTCTCCAGTTCTTTTCACTTACCATACGAAACACAGCAGCATTAAGCTGCTATTATACGCTGGTACTCTGTAAGAGCATGGTCCATCCCCGGCGAGCCGACCCATTCGTGCTACAACCATAATATAGCTGCAACATGGCTATACCACATATTGTTTAAAGCATAATCTACATTGGACTTCCTCATTTGTCTGTTGACACGTGGGTCACGAAAGTGCAAACTAGTTTGGTGTCCGCGGTCAATGTACCCTCGCAAATTGCCTATGAACAAGGTTAGACAAGGTCGTAGAAGGAATTCATATAAAATATATCAAAGTGTTTGTTTTTATTGCGTTTTTTTATTCAGAACGGGTCAATGCACGGTTGGTATGACACCGGATTTTACGAAAACTAGGTTGTAGGCAATCGCGTAGAATACTACGCGATAGCTAATGACTAAAGTGGTTAGCCTCGAAACCAAATTTAAATTAAAAAAGAAAAGCCAAGCCTTAAAGCCAGTCTTGTTTTAAATATGTTTAGGTGTTTCTATATTTTTTAAATAACATATGTATCTATTATTTATCTATCTTTTAATAACGAGGATATCCGCAGAAACTCAAGAGTAACTGACGTAGTCCAGCGGATCCGTAAGCTAAAGTTCCGTAAGTTCTCGAGTGGCAGCTTCATACTGGCTAGCGCCCCCCCCCCCCCACACTAGATGTTGACGACATGGTAAGATTTGCATGAAGTCGATGGATGCGGGTGGCTCATATCCGTGTTTAGTGGCATCCCTTGGGAAAAGCAGTTCAGCAGTGGACTTGTGAGTAGGTACTACCCTCTTACCTATTCCTTGCAGTCCTTGGACACCTGCAGCCAATTTCAAACAAAGAAGACCACAGATGTGTTGTCACCTTTGAGGACTAGGGCTGAGATCTATAGACCGTACTTTGACTTTGCTCAGACTTTACAATGTCAGTATTTATAGAGCTAACTTCGAAGCCGTGCTGAGTGCGCGATTAACAAACCCCAAGTCAACGAAATCGACGACTTACGTAAAATCCGTAAGCTTAGGATAATATCCAAAACCACCGTATTAATTTTAAATTGTTGTTTTTATGTTACTCTAATTATCTATAACAATCAATAGGTAATTTTAGGCCGACGTTTTAAATAGCATTAATCCATTTTCTATTAACGTAATTTCAAACTTAATTCGAATTTCCTAAAATTTTCTTTTTTTTCTGATTTTATGCTCTTCCCATCAGTTCCCGTTACAAACGCCCGTTTTCAATTTCATGTAATAATAACTTATTTATGAAATACAATTTGGACTGTTTTCGATTTTTAAATATTACATTTTTAAATTTTTATACAGTAAAATCAAGTATATAATGCACGGAATGAAGCATCATTAATTTTTTGACTGTGTTAGCCTTAGCATAAGCTTAGCTTAATCTTAGCCCGATACAATTATAAATTCAGAATCAAAGATTATGCTGAGCATATAGTCAGCTAAGTTTTTCGTAAGTAAAGTCTGAGCAAAGTCAAAGAACGGTCTATAGAACTCAGCCTAAGATGAAATGTCTCACAGCCTGTGAGTATACTGACTCTCTATATACCGAAACACAGCAGTGCAGGATCTTTTCCCGCTTTTAATATTTTTCGGGGTAATTTTTTTAAATTATTATGTTAAATTAAATTTCTTCCGATAATCATAAACTAAGGTATACAAAATAATTATAGTTGCATTGGCAACTCCAACCGAAATTTAAATTAGACATGAGAGAAAATAAGGCGGATCCAATTACTGGGCACCGTTGCGGGCCACGGCCAGGTCGAGGACTGAGCAAATTGCTCGGCAAAGGATATTTTGTGCTAATTCACCTCGACTGATCTTTGAGCGCTTAATCAAAATTATGCCGTTTTTACTCGCGCACGGCCGTTTTGCATTGAAAAGCAATTTACTCAGTTTTATTTGGTCTTTATTCAGGTCAACAGTTGAAACTAAAAGACGTGCCAATTTTTGAGCGATCTGTCAATTTGTAAGTATATAACTAATAAGTAAGTATACTGCAAATATCTAACTATCGAATATATATCAGTGGCATTTACAGATAGCAACTAAAAATAAAAAACGGTGGTCTGCCAAGCGTGCCAACTATGACAAATATGGCCTATATTTGGCAGTGGACTTTTGGTAGGGGTAAAGGATGAATGGATAAGAACCTTATTAGCTGTATAAAGTTACAACCTACTAGTTAAAGCTAAAGTCCCTCCGCCGGGCACAGGCCTTCCTCTCTTCTGAGAGGGTTTTAGGGCAAGGATGTGTCCGCTGCGCTGAACCAATGCGTGTCGCCGGACTGCACATGTCTTCTAAATATATTTTTTTTTTATTTCTTAGACATGCAGGTTTCCTCACGATGTTTTCCTTTACTGCAGAGCACTTGGTAAATCAGCACTTAAAATTGCAATTAACAATTTCATTGGTGCCGGCAGGTATCGAACCCGGGTTGGAGTTACCACAGCACAATTAGCCCCATATTTCTAGTGTAATTAGATTTATATTTTCCAGCGATCTCCATTATCGGAAAAAATCTTTCCGGCATATTCCATAGTTGGCTTTTACGATATCCTAGCGACGGAATGTTGTAAGGGAATCCAGAGAAGCCCATCATTACCATCAATACAGTATATCAAAAGTTCACTGCTGAACATAGCCTTCTCCCGTAGATTATATCTTAGAGGATTATAGGTGAGATATTGTTACTATGAAACCGTTGCTGTTCATCTCATAGTTCGTTTCCCTCTGTCGCCTCATACGACACCCACGGGACGAAATGGGGTGGTGAATACTTTTACATCACCACTACACTTTACTATGACACGGACACCAGATAAACAGAAACTCTTAAGAAGCAAATATTTCTTGATTTTAGTATGAGCTAATTTTTGCTCAAATAACCAAAAAAAGTAAAGTTGTCAGTAAGTAGTTTTTTTTTGGTAATTTGCCGTTCTAAACAAATTTTTAGACCAAATTGACCAAATTCCTAAAAGTTAGAACGTATGTGCTGTGCTCCATTTATCGATTTGAAAACCCATCCGCAATAACAATGCGAATGGAGGAGTACAATCGGTAGACTAGATATATATATTTTTACTTCAAATAATAACAGAATGCAAATAAATACGTCGCTGCCGAATCGCTCCACCAGACGAAATCATCCGCCATTGATAAAGGCTCGCTCATAAAGAAAAAAATATTTATATAATATAATAATTTTATATGACTGCAAATTCATTACTTTCATTGTCAAGGATCCTTACATATATAAGGAGGCCTGTACTCAGCTGTTTTTTTTTAAACATGGCAATAATTTTCCTTAACCTTTCTGTTAAGAAAAAAAATATCAATGGTAGCTGTACTGGTATAATGGTACTGCTTGATACAGATTTTACTACTTTAGTCTGTGGTCGCCATTAATGTTTGATTACTTATAAATTATTTCATTTTCAAATATACTAGCAACACTATTAACTTTGTTAAAAATGTTTGTGGTATTGGAATGGTTCATTACAATAGATCAAGTCGAATGGCGGATTCAAGCGCACATCTTTAAGTTTGCGGTCCGTGGCCTCCATCGGGCTACTGACGCGTCAAATCAGTTTTTAACCCTGACGCAAAAAGAGGGGTGTTATAAGTTTGGCCGCTATGTGTGTCTGCCTATCTGTCTGTGTGTCTGTATGTAGCACCGTAGCTCTTAAACGGGTGGACCGATTTGCAGGTTTCTTAGCGTTGGTACTTAGACATGTTTTATCAAAATCGGTTCAGCTGTTTCAAGATTATCAACTGTTTATTTCTCGGGTTTTTTAAAATTTGAATTTGAGTTGTAGCTAATAATATTAAAATCATTTTAATATTTTCCACTGATCTCTATTTAGCATATTTACTGACATTCAACCTGTGAATTTAGATTTCAATACCCATTACTAGGGTACAATTTAATAGCGTCAATGCCTAGTATTTACAAACTCTAAGTAATGAACTCATCTTTGATTGGTAGCTTGTAACGTGTTCTGGCAATAAATTGAGTGATTAAGAGATTTAATACTTTTT